TTTATTTATTTATTTATATATTCATATTTTTATTTATTTATAATAATAATTCCATGAAGTTCTGAGCCCATCCAGCAGAGGAACAGAATTTATTTAGTTTATTTGGGCAGTAAAAAAGACCATATTTTAAAAGTCTTTGAAGGGTTCTAACAAAGTCTGGCTGCTCCGTCGGACCAAAGCAGCACAGAGGGATGACTCAAGACTTTTGCACAGTTGTGAGTCAGTTATCTGCTGACAGGTTAGTGATCTGCAGCAAACAGACTCTCCTCTCGTGGTCCACCTGCTCGTTCTCAGATCGAATGTCGGCGCCACAGTCCATCTGCCGGCTCGCTCGTCCTCGCCCCCACCCCCTCGGGGTTCTAAACCGCCGCATCATGCTGAGACCGGAGGCAGATGTGCTGAGTCACCGTAACATAACTCTGTTAGGACAGTTACTGTGGGTGGGCGGGGACACACCGAGTCTTCATAGACGAACCGTCCAACAATCCTGCTTCCTCACTAAAAATCATCCTTTTTTTTACACTCGTCCCGAATTTACATCTGCACTGAGATTAAAGAAAATATTACAAACTTTTCCCACAGAATCAACGCAGATAAATAAAAATACATTTATTTAAAGTTTTTACATCCGCCTGCCATCATCAAACATTTTAAATTTGTTTAGGCTCAGCTACACAACAAATTTTAGCTCTGAATCTGTAAAAAATTAGCCTGGTAAAAACCAGAGCCTGTCCTTCACTTTGCTTCGTACACAGGGTCTGGATTTGATGCGTAGAGAAGTGATTCTTGCAGGAGGCGTGGCCTCTGCTGAAGCATGTGTGTTGTCGCTGTGAAGGAGGCTAAGCTAAGAAGCTAACCTGAAATCACGTGCGCTGTAAACAACCCTACTGAGAAGTACCGAGCCGAACGAGACGACTGTAAATGAGAGCTGCTGCTTTGTCAGACTAATTTAATTTAATTTGAAGTCTTATCAACACAGACTGGCTTCATTCACTTCCTCCACTGCTGTATGCTAAAATAACTAGCAGACACTGCGCAGAACATCGTTGTTCAAAACTCCGCCTTCTGTTCTCTGATTGGCCCGGCTAAAAATCTTCCAGTGAAATCCTTCTCTATGGGAGAAGTCCCAGACAGTGAAGGAAACTAGAACTGAGCGGAGCTGCGTAGGAAGGCAAGGGCCAGGCTATCAAATGTTTATAATTAACTTGAATAAATTACAAGTTAAGATACATGGAAAAAATTTTAAATTTGCATCGAAAAAATATCAAACCATGAGACTAAAGTATCGACCCGAGTCGTGAATTTTCTGTATGTTTGCTCCTTTAACCAATCCGAGCTGCGTAAATAATCAGGTTTGAGTGAGTTCATGCTCAGGAAGCTCGTGTTTGTCTTCTGCAGGTGATCATTGAGAGGTATAACGGAGAGAAGCAGCTGCCCATCCTGGACAAGATCAAGTTCCTGGTTCCGGACCACGTGAACATGGGGGAACTCATTAAGATCATCAGGTCAACTCTTTTCTTTACCTTGTTTAATTTCTCAGAACAGAAACTTAATTTTCTGCCTCAAACTCAAAAATTCAAGTTTTTGTTGTGATTTAAAAACCTGCTGGAATCTGTTGTTCATTCTGACTCATTGTTTCCTCCATGACTCCTCATCCTGCCTCATGTTTTTGTTTCTTCTCCTTTTTCTTTTCTTTTACTTCATTTACCTCCTGATCTGCTGTCGTTTCTTCTCCTTTTAGTTTATTCTTTTCCTTTCTGGTGATTTAACTGATTTATTTTAGTTTTGTCGGCCGACCTGCAGAATTTTAAATGCTCTTTGACGTTTGAAACTGAACAGTTGATGCAACATGAATGTCATCGGTTTTCCTGACTTCCTGGTTGTGATGTCGTTGCTCTGCCACCAGGCGGCGCCTCCAGCTGAACAGCAACCAGGCCTTCTTCCTGCTGGTCAACGGGCAGAGCATGGTGTCCGTGTCAGCGCCCATCTCCGAGGTGTACGAGCGCGAGCGGGACGCGGACGGCTACCTCTACACGCTGTACGCCTCCCAGGAGACGTTCGGCGCCGCTGCCCCGTGACCCCGCCCCTCCTCCTCTCGGCCCTGGCGATAAGAGACTCTGGTAGTTTCCTGTCGCACCCCTTTCTTCCTCATTCCCTCGCCTCTTTTAGACTCGTAGGTACAGAGTGACGGACGGAGCGTTGGACCTGAAGAGCAGCTGTAGTCGACGATGTTTCCTGTCAGCGCTGTAGCTCCGCCCCTTCTCAGCTGTGTTTAAATAAAGATCCACCTGAACAGTTTTAAATATTAACTCATCAAAGCTTGCCTTATTTTACTGGAGACTTTTTTTTTGCTTCAGATTAGATCTTTAACGTCTCCGCCTCTGTCCCGTCAGGGTCCTGTTTTTATTTTATTTTATTTTTTTATATTTTCCCTCCCAAGCTTGAAGCATCTTTCCTGAAACAACTTCCTGCTCCTGGAACAGATGATTGTAGTTTACAGGAAGTGTATAAATGCTGAACAAACCTGCAGATGTTTGAGCAACACCAAGTAGATTTTCAGTTTTAACTCCCCCTGAGGCGCCAGGTTTGAGTCTTTTATTTTGTTAGTTGTTTTTTTTTAAGCGTCGGAGCTTCACACTTCCTGTCTGGTTATCCTGGTCCTCTCCAATTATCTCAAGGTTTAGCTGCTTTATATCAAAGTATTATTGTTGTTTTTTTAATATTAAATGTAATTTTATTTGATTATAAAACATGTCTTTTGTTGTTGACTTGTTTTGTTACGGAGGGGCGGAGCTTCTTGCCCCGCCTCCTGCTCCAGTCAACATCACACAGCCTCCTTCACATGTTTATCTTGGTATTTTGGTAACAATAAAAAGGGAAAAATAGTTGTTTTTGTTCTCATTTTAATCTTTCCACCTAAATGAACCTTCAGCAACAAGAAGTTATATAAACTGTGAAATTTCTGTTTTGAAGCAACATTGGGAGAATGTAAACATGTCTTATTTTAGTAGGAATTCAGACTTTGCTTTAAATAACTGCAGTTTAGTAAACCTTTAATTACAAAAATCTAAACCACTGAGGTTAAATCTGATCCCGTTTTGTAAATTAAAAACAAGGTTTTTGTTTGTCTGAAAGGTAAAAACCAGAAAAATCCACCAGATCTCCTGAGCCTAAACAGTTTTTTTATTCCGATGAGTTTTCCTGAAATGTCAGATAAAACTTTAAAGGTTCTGAAACAATAAGCTTTAGAAAATAAAAACAAACTATTTGAACATTTGCACACAAATACTTGGAAAAAAAAAAAACAGGAACTTGAGCAAAAACGAAGCAACGTCATTCTAACGTCTAAAATATAAAACAAACCCGAACCAGAATCTTAAAAAAAAAGTTTCTTTTTAAAACTGTAAAAGGAGTTTCTGGTTTTTTTAAAATATATTACAAACCTTACGAACTTGTTTGAAAAACATCATAAACGTGTTCTTTTTAAATAAAACGTTCCTTTTCCTGCACCGTGCCCTCCCGGGGAACAGATACGTGACGGACCAGCTGTCCTGGGTCCTGCCCAGAGACCCGGTCCACCATCAGACATTAAACCACTTCCTGTCACCTCTGACTCTCGTGAAAACCTGCAGGACGACTGGAAGCCACAAAAAGCAGGCAGCTGCAGGTGTAAACAGAGCGTTGGCACTTTGACCCGTCCAGGCACCTCGGTGTAAACGTGTTGCTCAGAGGTAGAGAGGCTGCAGCCCAGAGTGTTACCAAATATTATAAAACACCTCCCAAAATACTCAACTTATTAAAACTACAGGCACTGATGTGTTGCAGATGTTCTGTCATGAGTTGTAACCTTATTTTAAAAATGTAACAAAAATCAGAAATGATTTGTAAATCTTATAAACCTGTATTTTAAACACAGTGGATCATAGTAAACAGATTAAATGTTAAACTGTTCCACTTCCTGGTAGAAATAAGGTTATTTTGAGTTTGAATGCAGAAAAAACATCTTTAAAATGTATTTTCAGGCACTAAAGCTGCTTAAAGCTCTATCATACAAAGAAGAAGCCACATGTAAACATAAACACTTCGGTCCATTTTAAACGTGTTTAGGTTCTGAGAAGACTGAAATGGAGAGCTGTTCTGGGTCGAGGGGAGCTGGTGCCCGTCTCTGCGAGGGGCGGAGCCTCCAGCCCAACCCATCAGACAAAATCTTTTTATAGAAACTACAAACACCACGTCCTCTGAACTAAAGACAATCCAGCCTTTTATCAGCAGAGGTAAAAGCCTGCCTCTCTGATGGTATGGGGGTGCATTTGAGCTTCTATCATGGGCAGCTTATACACCTGGAAAGACTCCATCAATGAAAAGTTTCTACAGGTTTTAGAACATCATCCAGAACCGGTCTCAGTTCCTGGACACCAGACTGTTGTTAAAGAACCTCGAACAACTTGGATTTTTTTAGACATGTTCTGCCTCCAAAATCAAAATCATCTTTTTTTTTACTCAAAATGTTTATTTCTATCTCTTCTCTGTTTCATTGTGATTTGAATATGGGTTTATAAGAGCTGCAAATCAGTGCACGACTCCACTTTATCAGAGTATTAATTATAAAACAGACTGTGATTTTTAACTCGAAGACCAGGTTGAATGTTCACCGCCCCGACTGAAACGATTAATAAAACGTCTTTTTCCTCAGAATTCCAGGATCATAGAGGTTCTTGTGGCTCTCAGCTGGTGAAATTCATCTGAAACGTCTCACTAGTTTCCCACTCCTTTCCTAAAACGGTCTCTATTTGGGAAACAGCATGATGACACCTGAGTGTGGCAGTCAGAAGCTGACTCAGCTGAAATAAAACCAGACCATGATGAGCAGAGAGGGAACAGTCGGCTGCTGAGACAGAGGGATACAAACACTTGATGGTTTGGTTGAGAAGCTGCTTTGAGACTTTTCTGTTAATGAACGGCATCTGTAACACGACTCGACGTCCGTCTGCAGAGTTCAGGTCTCTGAAGTTTGAATCACAGAGGATCCGCAGCAGGAACGTGTCCGACGCCATCGGTCAGTCGCCCGAGTCTTTACTCTGAGCGTGAGGCGTGTACTTCAGCCGAAACGTACCTGAGAAACACAGAACACAAAACATGATGTCATCAACATCAGCTGATGAAAGGAGTAAAATATTGATAACATGTAAATCAAACTGAAAGATCAAAGGTTTATTGATGACATCATTTATTGATGACATCATACATTAAGAGATTAAAGATCAAATGTTTATTGATGACATCATCCATTAAAGACAAAAAGCTAAATAAATAAATGAATTTAAACCTGATCTTTCGGACTCACCCTGCTGCGTTGAATCCATCGGCGGCTGTTTGCACTCCTCGGCTCGATGTCCGCCGGCGCCGCAGTTGCAACACGACACGTTGGTGGCCACCCGTTTCTGGCTGCCGGCGAAGCCGTGCGGCTGGTAGAAGCCGAAGGCCGGCTGCTGGTCGAGCGGCGTGGGGCTGTGGCGGTAGAGCGGCGGCGGCACCACCATCGGGTAGGGAAAAGGCGGGGCCCCGGGGCCGGCGGCGCTGGACGGGGCCACGAAGGGGCTGAGGTGGAGGAGGGGTCCGAGGGTGAAGAGGGACGGCCCGGCGGAGAACGGCTGCAGGTAGCCCGCGGCAGCAGCGTACCCGGGCAACGCCCCGTAGGCGCCGCAGTTTCCACGGCAACCGCAGGAGCTGCAGACGCACAGGGAGGGGCTGTGAGGAGAACTCTGATCCGTGGAGGGGGCGGAGCAGGACGAGGGGGCGGGGCTGGAGGCGGGCTGGTAGTAGGCACTGCCGGGCACTGCGGTGGTGCTGGTCGTTGCCATGGAAACGTAACCACCAGAGCTGCCAGACCTGGAGGAGGTGCAGGAGGAGGAGGAGGTGGGGTAGGAGTAGTATCCTGTTGGAGAGGAGGACAGGTGGAAGAGTAGGGGGGGCTGGGAGACGTGGTGGAGGCTGTTGGAGGTGGAGGTTAGTGCAGAACTCGTCTCCACCATCAGACCCGTGGCCCCGCCCCCTCCTCCTCGACTGCGGCAAAGCCCCGCCTCCTGCTGCCCGGAGGAGCCGTCCACGGGCCGTCCTGTGAACTGGCCCTCCAGCCTCGCCGCCACCCCCACCCCAGGACCCGAACCAAAGCCGCCTCCCACAGAAACCCCGCCCAGCAGAGCAGTCCGGTCGTCGGCGCACGGCGGGATGGGCCGCGGCTTCCGGGGCGAGGCCAGGATCCGCGCCGGGTTCGAGACCGGCTGAGGGTGGAAGGACGTCTGCGGCGGGCCGAACGGAGGGAGGGAGGGGCAGGAGGGAGGAAGAGGAGGAGCCGGGTCCGTCTGGACGGGGAGGACCTGGGCTGTGGGGCGGCCTGACCCGGCGGGGCAGCTGGGGTTCAGGATGAAGAGGCAGGACCGGTCCTTCTCCGGGACGGCTGCTGCAGCATCCGGAGCCGACACGCCTGAAACACAACCCAACGTGAGGAAAAAGACCGGCTCTAAAAACATCAACTAAACCTCGACCCGGTCCACTCTTTTACGTCTGAGAACGTCCCGGTTCCTGTCGAAGGTCGGGTCGCAGCACTGCGGCGTCCGAGGCGAGCAGAAAGGGGAGGAGTCTGCAGACACCAGGTGGTGGAGCGGGACACCGTCCACCTCCGCCCGCAGCTCACCTGCAAAACACGACACGACTCCAAACTCTGAGCAGGTTGAAGGTTCAGGTTGTTTAAAAGCTCCACGTTTTGTATCTTTTCTCAGGTGAATAATGATATACACTCACCGGCCACTTTATTAGGTACGCCTGTCCAACTGCTCGTTAACACTTAATTTCTAATCAGCCAATCACATGGCGGCAACTCAGTGCATTTAGGCATGTAGACATGGTCAAGACAATCTGTGGGCAATTATTTTTTGCCGAGGGCCACTTGAGAAACTTGAGCTATGTTGGAGGGCCGAAACC